TTAGGTACGAAGTTAGTGAAATAAATGCGTTCACGTAAAACGGTGTGCGTGGTTGCACTATCTGTCAGACAACTAACTTCCTCACTAGTCATACCTAGAATCAAAAATTAATTTGAATCGGTCACATGCATAAAAGTTCTAAAAACAAATATCCATTCAAAATAATTTTTAAGTATTCAAGGACGGAAATTAATTAAAAGCTTAATATCCAAAAACGAATCACCAACAAATAATCCAAACATAAAGGAAAATTGTTCAAAATTTAACTAAAAATGAAGAGGGCTTCGGCCACTATTGTGGAATTCGGCCCCATGGTCTTATTTTAACTAAAAAATAAGTCCATGTCTAAGATTCTAATCTTTCATAGGTGTGATAGCCTCCTGAAAGTCAGAAACCTCAATCTTTGTACTCTCTGGACCGTTCACTAGCACAAAGTTTGATTCAAACTTCTTACGATGAGAATGATATTCAGCTACAACATTCTGGGGAGCTTGGCAAATAAGGGACCAATGGTCCTTTTAACCACAACGATAGCACATATCTACATCCATGGTTTCAGATACCTTGCCATTATTCTTGAAGTTTGGGGCCTTGGGAGTGAGGTTTGGGCTCTTCTGGGCTTTGTTTCCTCACTTGGATGTGCCTTGACTCTGTTGACCTTGGTGGGATGGTTTCTAGCCACCCCTACCGTGCCTTTTTTGACGTTTTGGGCATTGGCTTATGTTATAGTGTGCTTCAGGCACAGCAGTTGCCCTAGTAGGTCAAGCTTGATGATTTTTCATCAATAACTGGTTCTACGTTTTAGCGAGAAGTAAAACAGAGATCAAATCTGAGAACTTAATGAACTTCTAGGCTTTATATTGTTGCTGCATGAGAATATTAGTAGCAGATAATGTCGAATAGGTTTTCTCCAAGAGATCCTCTTCGATCAAAGTTTCATTACAAAACTTAAGAAGTGATCGGATTCAACAAACTTTAGAATTATATTCATTCACATACTTAAAGTCTTGGAAGCGCAAATGCTACCAGTCATGTCTTAGTTCAGGCAAGAAGATGTCCTTTTGGTGATCAAAACGACCAGCCAAAGCGACCCATTGCTCGTGGATCCTCCTGAGCAAGATATTCAATTTGCAAAAGGTCGTGGATATGTCTTCGGATAAAGATCATAGTGGTGGCTTTCTCAGCTTCACCAACAGGGTTGTCCGTCTCATCTTCAATGGCAGGACGCAAATTCTTTGCAATGAAGTGGAGCTTCACATCTTGGACCCACTTAAGGTAGTTCCTTCCAGAGACCTCCAAAGCAGTGAAGTTAAGCTTATTCAAATTTGACATGTTCCTATCACAAAATAAAGGACAAGATGTGATTAGTGCAATGGAGAAAAATAATCAATCCATTTACGTAGGAGTAGAACATTCAGGTTCTAATAAACATGTTTTGGTTAATATTCGCATGAAAAAGCTTCGGGTTTTCATGTGTGATGTTTTAAGTGAAAAACTTCAGACTTTCAAACAAGGCATTTTTATAGAAACTTCAGGTTTTAAAATAATTATGAATTTCAAGTTCATATGTTCCTACAGACAAATGCAAATATATACACAGAAATATGCAACAAGAAAATTTGCAAATAGAACTTCAGGTCTAAAATTATAATTGAATTAATTATTTGGACTTCAGGCCAAATTTAAAGTGTGGGTGAAAAAATATAAAACCCATTAAGCCTAAAAATAATTAGGCAATTAAACTCGGGGCCCAAAAGAAAGGCCTAAGCCCATGGGTGGGCTAAGTAATTAGGGACGTGCAGCCCAAGCCCAAAAATTGGGCTAGGTTAGCTTGGTTGGGATGCAGGCCCAAACAAAGGGCACATATCTGGTGCTATGGGGATACGGGACACCAAAGTCGCATAGGCTGGTGTCAAGAATTGGGTCGACCCAAGTTGGCAGGCCCTACAATTTTTTTTTTGTATGGTTGGGTAAAAGGAAAAAAAAATTCTGGCCAAAGATCATACCAGGCCCAAACTGGGGTAGGGATGGACCAAGAAGTCCTACCAGAGCTAGGAGGTGTTGCCGGAGAAAGTGACCTACACCGCCACTGTAGGTGGCCAATTCTTGGATTGGGGGACTCGGGGCACCCTTGTTGGGTGTTTTTAACCACAATTACGAATCAAGATTGTGAAATCTCAACAATTCAACCAAAACCTCGGAAATTAAAATCAGAATTTCAAGAAATTCGATGAGATTCAAAGGAATCTTCAACCAAGGGACACCATGGACGATCTTCAAGTCGTCGGGGGGGGGGGTAGCCGAGGTGGCTGGGCATGGCTGCAGGCCATGCAGCACGATGGCTGAAGGGTGGCAACACTTTTTGGGTGTCGAGTTCTAGGTTTTGGGCTAGGGGCAGAAGCTCCAGTCTGGGTTCTTGGCTCGGGGGCCCATCTACATGGATAGGTGATAGAGGTCACGGGTTCGAAAGAACCAGGTTTCCTGATTTCAATTTTTCTATTTTTTTTCAATTCAATTCAATGCATAATCAATTCAAATATTTGAATGCATGTACATATATTTGGTGCAATTTATGGCAAATATCAAATTCACGTAATTCAACAATTATGAATATAATGCATATACAATTTATGTAGAATCTAAAATTCGAAAAACGTAAAGTTGGGTCATGCATAATGGTAAATGTTCATGTTATCAGGGTTGCAAAAATATCAAGATAAAACCGTTGTTTGGAAAAACCTGATTGCGTGATGATATGGATGAACTGGTTTGAGGCAGAAAAAAGCTTCAACGTCATATTCCTAAGCACAACGGTAGGAGTGTGTTGATAACGTGTTGTAGCCTATTTTATCTGACAAGGAGAAGGGGGCCGACGACAATAGTAGAGAGAGATGAGAGATGTGTTTGTAGAATCGTAGGGGAATTGTTTATTGAGGATGTTTTATCCCCCATACGTGGTAAAAGTAGAGAAGAAATCCTCATCCACAAGGAATACAAGTCAAGGAAATAATAATTATAATCAAATCTCATCTAGGATTTACACAATCACACTTAAACTAGGAAAGTTCACAATAATTTTTGTGTTTTAAACTTTAAGAAGTTTATGAGCTCGTTTGAATGTGCTTTTAAAATGACTGAAAGCGCTTTTAGAGAAAAAAAAATTTGGGCTCCAAAAGCACTTAAAGTGCTTCCTGAAAGCAACACATAACTGGTGCTTCTTGCATAAAACACTTTAAGTGCTTTTTCAGGATTTATTTGCATCTTTACTAAAGATTGGTTCTAAAAACATTTTCTCCAAAAACGTTTTCAGTCATTTTAAAAGCATATCCAAACGAGCTCTATTTCAATTAGGATTATGGTGTAATAGTATTTTTCTTTGTTGAAGGGGACCAACTGTTGGCTTCGGAGCCAATTTTTTGTTAATTTTTTCATATACTGGAAAGATTTCAGCCTCTCTTACCCACTATCGTGTAATGCACCAGTGTCAAGAATTAAATAGTATTATTGAGTATACAATCTCTATTAATTAATTAAACATTTTTTGTCAACCAAAAGAATGTGAAAAGACTACTTAGTCTTCTATCATGCAAAAAAAATGATGGGCAATAATGTAATTTCACATGTCCAAATTTTACTGTTTTTTATTGAAGCATCACCTATAGGTGATGTTAAAAATACCTCCAATATCAAAAAACAAAAAACAAAAACAAAAAACAAAAAACCAAAAAAAACAAAAACCTAAACCTTCCACTCCCCCCACGTTCGCTCTCTCTCCCTCTCTCCTTCTCATTTTCTAAAAAAATATGTTCATACACACAAAATATGTAGGCAAATATTAGTAACAATTTATGGAGTTTTATATATGGTTTAAGGCTGGCAAACAAACTGAAAACCCTAGAGTCCAACCAAACCGAACCATTTAGTATGCAATTTTGATTTTACAAAGGTTGGGTTAATCGAACCAAACAATTTATAATTTAGAAAAAAATTATATAAAGTAACACGTATTATGTACAATATTATCTGATTAAAAAACAAATATAATATATTATATATATTTTAGGAACCAAATCAAATTGCAATATTGCTGAAACAATTACATCGGTTTTCACCCATTGTGATTCGGCTGTTGATTAAGGCAAGCTCCAGCGTGCGGTCGATACGCTGTTCAGACCCAAAATCAACCAACCCAAACCACACCCAACTTAGTATAACCTAAAAAAATCAAATTGGTTTTATGATTTAGTTTCAAGCAATATATAATGAGATGTGATATTCACACATACCATTTTACTTCTCACACACTTTTAATTTTCAATCTTCAGATCGGATGAATTGAAAAAAATCAAATGACATAAATTATCAAAGGATGTGTGAGAAGTAAAATGAGGTATGTAGATAGCACGTCCCTATATGATAAGGCAAGAGCAACGAAAATCAAATAAAATGGGTTAAAGCCCAAACTGCTTGGGACCGGATCAAACCGGTTACTTTACGGTTCAACTAAAAGATTTTCGTTAACAAAACTAATGTTGTAATTCAAGTACGAAAAAAGAAAAGTTTTTTTAATTAAAATGGTCTTGAGATTGTCATAACCCTTCATTTTAATCCTTGAGATTTCAAATCAACAGAAATAATTTTTAAGATTGTCCACCATCAATCATTTTTGTCTTTCTATGAAAAATCTCTATTAAATTGAATAAACTACCAGTTCAAGAGAAATTGTTAATTTGACAAAAATACCCTCAATTTAATAAAATTTCTCACACAATAACCAAAATGATTGATCATGACCCATCTAAGGACCATTTCTATTGATTTTAAATCCCACAAACCAAAGTGAAGAGTTTCGTTAATCTCAAGAACTATTTTGGATAAAGAGCCAAAAGAAAAATGCCGTGATTCTTTAACGATGATCCATCTTGTCGTCGAGATTGGTATATTTGTTTGTTGAGAGAGAGAGAGAGAGAGAGAGAGAGAGAGAGAGAGAGAGAGAGAGAGAGAGAGAGATGAATCCTTATTACAAATGAAGATTAAAATTCATGTCAACATACAAAGCATACCAACAGTTACAGTGACATACATTTTACTGCCCCCAGCTCCGTCGATAAATTTTCTTTCATTTTAAAGGATGAACAAAGAAAATGCAATCTGCAAACAAATATTACAACCCCACTTGCATTTCGAGCATTGGTAAATACCTTAATTGGCACTTTGGTGGTACCAAACAAAAGCTACATGCACCGGGGGAAAATCGTTTGCCCCACATAACCACCAGCCATAGCACGTTTTACATTAGACTCAAACATCTTCGGGTTGTCTCTCAACACCGCTGCTGCATCATGATTTAGTGGATCTTCATAGTTTGGTTCCTGGAACCAAAACCAAAGAGAAAAATAAGCATTCATATAGCAGATGGCAACGAATCGCAAAGGACCATCGAGACAATCATTAGTACCGTGAAAAGATGATACAATCCATAAATGACAGTGTTTATGTTGAGGACAGGTTTCCAATCTTCTCGTAGGATGTTGAGGCAGACATTACCTTCCAAGTCAATATTAGGATGGTAGACCTGTGAGGGTTTGTACCATGTACGAGACAATGTAGCATATAAGCAATCAAACAGAAGAGAAGAAACAAATACGGTTAAACAAGACTCGGTGAAATATATGTGATGTGCAGGTCTACCTTGGTCTTACACTTGACTTTTGGTGCCTCATGTGGATAGATAGGCGCCACTTGGAAAGTAAATGAAAACGTACCTCCTCTGTAATAACAAATGGAAAAGAATGTAGTTAATTGATCGTTATGCTAATTTTATAGGACATCTTAAAACAACATAGATAATTGTTTTCCAGAACAAAAACAATATATATTTTTCTTTTAGAAGTAACAAAAATATTGAAACCTTCAACACCAATGCTTGTATTCGTGTTGACTTCACTGCATAGTCAATGCAAACAATGGCTGCAGGACATTCACAATGTTGAAACAATATATGATTGTTCACCTGAGCAACAACAATATTGAATATTTTCGGTGTTGACTTCATAGTCAATGCATTGTCTTACAATTGAAAATCCCCCGCCTACATCTAAATTTATAGACAATTTTTTGTGCGAGCAAGTATCTACATGTGTTTGTGTGAGTGGAAAACGAAAGAACTCAGCTTCTCTGACAAAGGAGAGGTGTCTAAAATTAGTATGTGCAGTTGTGGCAAAAGCTTTTATGTGAACAATCTTTTACACACAAAAAGTTCAACTTCTTACGAGTAATATCCTTCATCTGGACGAATTGTAACCTCAAAGTTCATCAGGTCATCCTTGCCGTTAGGAAATGAAATGCTACAAGTTTTTGCGAGATTCAGCTCAGATATATCTGCATCAGATGCCACAAAAATGTTTTTTTTTTTCAATAAATGGTGGCCACATTTCGAAAAAACAACACATCCAAAACACAATTTAGCAACAAACCAGTTTAAACCCCTTTATCCTTTAACAAAATTAAAACAGATTTAAATAATGATTGTACTCAGCATGAAATTATCTCAACTTCAAATGTCTACCTGAGTTGAAAAAAAATGAAACCCTAATCATTCCAGGGTAAATCATTTGCTAAAGAAGTTACGTTTTAAAATTGATTTTTGAATTGACTTAAAGCACCACCAGCCTGAAAACCCTATAAATAAGTTATACAGCGTCACTATGGACCAAGAACGATGTCCTATTTCACCATTCATAAGCACTATGGGCTAGAGAATATATTGTCAGCAAAGACATCAACCAAGAAAAATTAAAACCATCTAACAGATTTGATCCATGCTGCTTGACAATCAACAAACTGCTTGACATTAAAAAATCACTCGTCTCTCATATTTCAATTAATTTGTGGAATTAGAACATCAAAGGCATTTAAAAACTAGAAGAATATGTACAAGTTTCCATCACAAATAACTGGTGATACTCCATTTGCAATTGGACAGAAGGAATACCTCTATGAAGACGCAATTCCCCAGCAGATTGCTTCTTCACAGGTGACGCTCCATTCGCATTTTCAGCAAGTTCTCTTTGCTTCTCCTTTACTTTGAATAGCCTAATCATATCTCCTGAAAAAGTGAAAAAGAACACAATGATCCTAAAAATCCTAAAGTGATTGTACATTCGTGCTACATACAACAATTGTGCTGGTCTACAAGTACAGGTTGAATCAATCATGATGTGAGAGGCATGCCAAGCAGATCGATAAACTGAAATTTCATGCAGAAAGCTGAAAATAACCAAATGAACATCAAATTTAGTACACACCAACCATGAAAAACATAATCAAGAAACCGTTCTATTCAAGGGTGACCAGTCCTTTAATTATTCTTCGTTTCTTCTGTTTTCGTTTTAATCTTTTCATCTTTCTGGACCCTTTCGGGTTAAAATGCTATACAACTGTCGGTTCATTGGCAGCTTAATACTCAAAATCATTAAACTAAATCTGATATTTTCAAACAAATTACAAATTTACAATCTCACGTTGATCGCTAAAACAATAATCCTAAAGTAATAAAACACTTACAAATTACTCCTTTTTAAAGTACCCTTTTCAAATTAACACCACTTCTCTACAAAAATCAAATAAACAAGCATCATAAATTGCTAAATCGGACACAAACAAACAAAATCAAATCTTGCTCAAAAGGAACAACCAACAACTAAAAACCCAATAAACCCTAAAAATTAACAGACATAATTATCAACCAATCAGATTCAAAACCCAAGAAATTTCAAAACTATAAGCACCTGATGATCGGATTTCCTGGAAAATCTAGCAAAGCGAAAGAAAGAAACTTGCCGACATATACATACACCTATATATATATACACACACACACAGAAAGTGTATTATTGGGATGCATAGATGCTGACCTGGTAAGAAGAAGCTGCAGAGAAGACGACTTTGTGGATGAGTGGGAAAGTACGGAGAGAGAGAAAGGGGGCGGGGGCAGATTTGGGATGGGACGATGTCGTTTTAGGGGTTTTGCGGGGAGGTTTGGATGATTGGTCTCTTTGGGTCTACGCTGCTACAGATGACAGAGTAGTATTCGCGTCTCGCTTTATTTCTACGCCCCTTCTTTTTCTTCGCAACACGGACAAACGAAAATGTTTGAAACTCAACCTTTTTGTTGGTTACAACTCAACTTTGACTCACTGAGCCACCTCTCGTGATTTTTGATTAGAGTAAATTGTACAAATGGTCCTTCAACTTTAATCAAATTGGAGCAATGGTCCCTCAACTTATCAAAATGTGTAGCTATAGTCCTTTTCATCAATTTTGTCAAAATTTTGTCAAAATAAGCTATGTTGGAATGACTATTTATATAATTAGGGTCCCTCAACTCATCAAAGTGTATAATTATGGTTTTTTTCGTCAACTATGTCAAAAAATTTGTCAAAACGAGTTATATTGTAAGGACCATTGCTACAATTGGATTAAAGTTAAAGGACCATTTCTCCACTTGAATTAAAGTTCAGGGACCAATGGTAATGGATTTTTAGTTGAGGGACCATAGCTGCACGTTTTGATAAGTTGAGGGACCAAAGGTAATGGATTTTTAGTTGAGGGACCATTGCTCCAATTGAGTTAAAGTTAAGGGACCATAACTACAATTTACTCTTTTGATTAATACATGATTATTTGTTTATCTTTTTATCAAAGATAATTGTTTTCCTCTCTACTTTTTATTTTCCGTAAAATTTAAAAAGCTATTTCTTTGGTCCAAACATAAAAAAGGGGGTGTATTTACTACTTAGTTGTCACATCTTGGCCCGGGGTCCACCACATCCCGAGCCCACTCTACCACCGTAGCACGATATTGTCCGTTTTGGGCCCCGACTACGCCCTTACGGTTTTGTTTCTAGGAACTCACATAAGAACTTCCCAGTGGGTCACTCATCATGAAAGTGCTTTCATGCACTACTCGCTTAACTTCGAAGTTCCAATGGAACCCAAAGCCAGTGCGCTCCCAAAAACAAAACCGTGAGGGAATGGTAAGCTCAAAGCAGACAATATCGTGCTACGTTGGTGGAACGGGCCCGGGATGTGGTGGACCTGGACCGGGATGTGATAGAATGGTATCAGAGCCTAACCCTGGTCGTGGTGTGCCGATAAGGACGTCAGGCCCCTTAAAGGGGGTGGATTGTAAGATCCCACATTGCCCAGGGGAGTGATCCTTATATGTATATTCTCATTCCTACCTAGCACGAGACATTTTGGGAGCTCATTGGCTTCGAGTTTCGTAGAAACTCCAAAGTTAAGCGAGAAGGAGGTCAGTGCACTCCCAGGATGGGTGACCCACTGATAAGTTGCTCGTGAGTTCCCAAAAACAAAACTATGAGGGAATGGTAAACCCAAAGTGGACAATATCGTGCTACGGTGGTGGAACAGGCCAGGGATGTGGTGGACCTGGGTGGGGATGTGACATTAGTACTACGGTCTAGTGGTGTTATTCATCTGTAAGTGAAAAATCTTAAGTTTGATTCGCCAATGACGAATTTGAACTACATTATTATGGTTAGTTCAGTGTGTGGATAGGCCCACTTCCCTACCTCCTTACTACATATAATATCTTCTTTTTGAAAAAAAAAATTGAGGTGTATTTACTGGGGTTGGGGCGTGGTTTGGGTTTGTTTGTTTTTGGGTCTAAATCATGAACCAAATCCCACACTTCGGTTTGTTTAAAATCAAAATCATAACCGAACCATAAAGACATAAAATGATGTAATTAATCGATTCACCAATGTTGCGGTTTGGTTTTTGGTTTAACATGTTTCTACTATTAAATAACAAATTCATTTGGAAAAAAAATAACAAATTCAGAGCAATGTCGAAATAAATACTAGAATATTTTGTAAATCCTTTTATTTAAAAAAAAAATCATCAAACCGTCAACCTCATAACTTAATTTGACAATCTCATAACTTCAAAATACTTAAATCTCATAAATGGACTAAAAGTCTTAAACTTATAATCTCATAACTTCAAGATGTTACATATATTATTTATTATTTTATATATTTCATTATAAGCAATTTGGTCCGTTAATCCACGGTTTGTAAAAACGAAAACCGTATATAATAAACCGTGTATTTCAAATTTGATTCGGTTTTATAAAGAATGGACAAAAAGAAAATAACAAACCAACCCAAACGATTTGATTTGGTTGGTTTTTTGAGTTTTCAGCTTGTTTTGCCCACCTATTATTCTTAAAGTATAAATATATCGTTTATTAATATTATAACATTTGAATTATTAGCGTAATGTCACTTCATAAACAAAAATTTCCACAAAGTAGGAAGGCCCAATAAGGACAAGAATTGTCTGTCCTCCCATTTCTGGTGTCTTCCTGTTTGTGTGGTCACGGTTAAGTCACATCAATATTTTATATTACTATTTATTTTTATTTTATTATCTTTATAAAAAAATTAATATAAAATATTGACGTGATTTAACCGTGACCACACAAAACAGGAGAGCACGGGAGGGCAGACAATCCTTGTCCACCCAATAGATAGAAAAACAACGTATAGCCCAGACTTGATGAATTGGTTTTAATATGGTGTATTGATCACACCAATTACGCGGTGCTGGAGACCAGATTTTGATTCCCAATGATGATTTTCAAAAGGATTGCGCATTCATTAGCTTGGTAAGCTCCACTCTACATTCAAGTTTCAAACTTTTTTCCTTAATGCGCTTAACCCTAATTTTTCTTGGAAGCTAGGAAATGACCTCTCCATGGGGTTTAATGGCTTTGAGATGATGGGTTATTGCTTTATGTAGTTGACGGTATGTTTCAGGCTACGTGGCATGGACACTGCGAAACCCTGACAAGTCTCAAACACGCTCCGGACATGGTTTGGACACGGTCAAGACACAATTAAGATAGGGTTAAGATACGGTCAATACACGATTAAGATACGTTAATTACATATGAACTTTATATATATATATATATATATATATATATATTGTTTCTGTCACCTATCTAGGTATGTATATAGACACATTGACACATATATGATGTATATTTCCTTGGGTCCAATTATTAACTCTCCTTCTTGTTAGACACAATAAACTTGGAGAAACTATTGAATCTGCAATCTATAGGATTAACCCTGGCAAGTCTCAAACACGCTCCGGACAGGGTTTGGACACGGTCAAGACACGGTTAAGATAGGGTTAAGATACGGTCAATACACGATTAAGACACGTTCATTACATATGAATTATATATATATATTGTTTCTGTCACCTATCTAGGTATGTATATAGACACATTGACACATATATGATGTATATTTCCTTGGGTCCAATTATTAACTCTCCTTCTTGTTAGACACAATAAACTTAGAGAAACTAATGAACCTGCAATCTATAGGATTAACGATGACCTGGTAATGTCTTTACACTCTGTCTATGTATATATATATGTACATATTTGCTGAAGTTATGATTTATAAGTAGCAGGAATTATCTGAAGCCGTTTAGTTATTTATATTTGCAGGAGTATTGTATTGAGATATATGAGTGATCTCAAAAGAGCTGGGAACCATACGTATGTCGCAAATGGTGTCCGAGTGCAGTTCACCGTGATTAGCCCTTATGTGAAAATAACTCTAGAGACAGATACTGTCCATTGCTTGTCGTGGGAGGTTGTTACGGTGCTCAACTGCTAATATAGGGAAACATCTTAAGATTTCAGAAGAAGTTGTCCAAAATTCCGAGGATGTGCCATTTGTGTCTTTCCCTATTACGGAGCTTCGTTTACCACACAAGTCTCTTTGCTCTCTCCCTCTCCTGTGATCTTATTTGTCGACAAATCTGCAGCGACCATGGCTTTCGATTCTGCAGATGGCTGGTTTTTTCATCTTCAGCATTGTCTTCATGTACTACAAGTAAACTGCCAATATAACGCACGAGACAACTTTCCATGACGCAGATCCTCAGTTTTCCTGTTAACATTTGTTGAGGGACTTCAGATAGTTACGTTGAAGATAGGTATGGCATCATTTTACACTAGTAATTTCGGTTTTTACTGTCTTACTGTCCTTGTAACTACAACTTGGCGTTATCCCTAATGCTGTTTTCACTTGGTCGTGTGTTTGCCAGTGCAAAAAATGGACCAGCATCCACAATGTAGGTGTACCGATTCACTTCTTGGATTAAAAGTCGCATCGAGTTTCACGAGCATTATGTCACATCGATTTTCTTCTTTTTTCTGTTAGGTCCATTTCTCGTTTTGTGTCGTGTGTACTACGTTGTTGCGGCTTACCAAAAGACTTGTAACTTTGTTTTCAATGTGATGTTTAAGGCAAAATGTTAGTCATCGTCGAGAAGTGATTAAAAATTCTTGGTCACTCATCTTTAAATTTGTATTAAGAGTGAAGGTTAAAAAGATGTGTTTTTAATGTTTAATCTCATCTTGGACATTAAATTTAAGAGTAGGTAACTATGAATTCTTGGTCACCAAAAGAACGAATCTCTAAGTTCAAGATATGCCAAACTTTCAGAATTTCAACATTCATTTTGATTTCGATTTTGGAATTTTCAAAAAATTTTGTAACGTACATATGTTAAAATTCACTCAAAATTTTGAATCTAAATGTTTTTTTTTGTTGTTGAACAAACGGTATTATCTATACTAAGAGGGATGAGGTGAGTTTAGCCTCACAATGGGCTAGTAATAATGTGGGTCGAATTCGCCTTGAGCGAGAATCGAACCTAAGAACTCCCACTTACAAGTGAAGAGGAATAACATTAGAACGTAGTATTAAATGAGAAATGTTGTTAGAATTGAAAATTCATACCGAAAGTCAAAAAAACACTATTAGTCTATCACATTCTTTCTTGAAGAAAACTCATACCTAATTAATGTAGATCATATGTCACTCAGTACTATGGTCTGGTAATATTCCTCTTCACTTATAAGTAAGATGTCTTAGGTTCCAATCTCGTGGATAGCGAATTCGATACCAAATTAGGTTGTCCATTGTGTGGCTTAGCCGAACTTCCCTTTCCCCTAATGTAAAAATATCGATATCGTGCTACAATGGAGTCGAGTTCGGGATGTGGTCGGGGCCCAAGCCGGGATGCGACAATTATATGCTTATAATTTTCAAGAGTGTAAATGTTTTCTTAGTAATATAAATTTTTTAATATTACTTATTAGATGCAATGTATCAATTGTATTAATAATAGCAATTTATTTAATATCATTTTTTGATATTTTTCATTTAGTTAATAATATAAGTAAATAAATAAATATATAAATATCATAATGGGGAAAACCGTTCCCCGATCAAAAATCCATCACCGGACGGGTTCGGTTATGGGGAAAACCCGTTCGGGAATTCTACAGGTTCGCGTTCAGGGAAAATAAACGGGTTTGGGTATGAGGATGGCACATCCGAACCCAATCTATCCTGTTGCCATCTCTAGTTATGTGAAAGTAAATTAGAACCTCAGAGAATGTTAGTGTTATGTTTTAAACGTAAGGGGTATTGTGAAAACACGATAAACCTGAAGGGGTGTTAGTGTAATTAACCCTTAAAAGAAATTGAAAGTTATGGGATTTTTTTTTGTTAAAGAAAATAAAAAAATCACAGTTTTGTCAATCCTCATGGGAATCATGCTTAAGAAACTAGGAAAGTGCTAAGACAATCTCCAATTGAAAGAGTTAAACATAGCCAAGTCCAAAATTATAGCCTTACAAAAATTAAATTTTAAATAATCAGTGTCAGACCATACTCATATACCATCTCCAACTGAAGGGGATAAGCATAGCCTCCTCAATAATTTATTAGTTTTTTTAAAGTTTATATTTTAAATTTATTAGTTAATTTAATTAAATTAACTCTAGATGTTTTCAGATTTAGCCGTTGAATTTGAATCAATAATTGCAATTAAGGAGCTCTGCCCAAAAAAAGGTTAGGAGGATGGTTACATTTGGGCAGACTGATGCTTATTTGGCCAAATAATGGTCTGGTGGGTGTCATAGAATTATAGCCTAGTCATTGGTTGAAAATGAATTTTTTGAAAAATCAAGCTATTTTTTAATTTTTATACCCTTAGCTCTCTTCTTTGAAGATGACAATGGGATGCAACGGCCCCTCTCAATGTAACATGGGACACTTCGGAGTCTTGGAGATTGGATTTAAGTAACTTTTAGAAGGTAAAAGTTTACAAACAAAGTACTGCAAAAATTACACAAACTGAATTTAAACAAGAACAACAAATCCTTCAATGCTTGTACTTCAAGTAGTTAAAACTTAATATATTTATTTTGCATCCAAGATTTTATGTTCGAATCTCTGTTTTATCCATTCCCACTTTGTGTAAATACAATGAAAACTTAAGGGTTCTTCCACAGGGCATAACAATGGACAACAACCCCAAGTGAATATTTTTGTACTGCCCCTTGTTGGTCTCGAGGGACAGAAGATGTTAAGGTAGCTGACAGATAATCACCGATTTAAGGACGAAAAAAACATCAAATCTCATAGGCAATATTTGATGGCTAGATGAGATAGGTTGTAATCAATTAAAATGGATTTGAGTACAGTTCGTTATTTGTTGTGTCAAATATAAGATAAATATGACTAGATATGATGGATTATGAGTCTACAATAGAATGTGTTATCTAATATATCCTTGTACATAAGTTACAAGTCTCTATCAATCCAATTATATCTGGAAGTGGATTGTCTGCCCTCCTATTTCCATACTCTTCGTATCCTCTTCTGTTTGTGTGGTCACGATTAAGGCACTTCAATATTTTATATTGATTTTTTTATAAAAATAATAAAACAAAAAGTAATATGAATATAAAGTATTGACGTGATTTAACCGTGACCACATAAAACAGAAGAGGATAAAAAGTGTATGAAAATAGGAGGAGAGACAATCCACCTCTAATGTATCTTAATGGCCGAATCTTATCTAATCTACCGAATGAACCCGTACTTTATTATAATTGGAGAAGTTGCACGTCTGAGTCAGTTTAGTTGGCTGTCCCCTTTTCTCTTTAAATCTTGGGCTCTTTGATAATTTCTGCTAGTAAAATAAAAATATTTTGATTTGATTTGATTTGCCAACAAGCTTTTGAGTCAAAACTAAAACAAGCTAAAAGCCAAAAGCGGCCGGGAAACAAGTAAAACCAAACAACTTAATGCTTGTGAATTCTCCGTGGGATCTGGTTTCTCTGCCCTCTTTTTATACACTTTTATCTCATTTTATTTGTGCGATTACGGTTAATTCATGTCAATATTTTATATCATTATTATTTTTTATCTTATTATCTCTATAAAAAAAAATATAAAATATTAACGTGGCTTAAATATCATCGCACAAAATAGGAAAGAATGAGAATATGAACCGGAAGAGCAGAGAAGTTGGGTCCTTCTCCGTGCCCGTTCGTCAGCAGCAAACGCTAAACGGACCCATTTTGTAAGTTCTGGCCATTTAAATTTTGTACAAATTCAAAAAATTGATTAATTTATTTTCCCTTTCTTTTGGGTGTTCAAAATTCAAAGAATCTGTTATAATTAGATAAATGATAAATACGATTCCAATTCTACGTTGTTTAGTACGTGGAAACGCACAGAAAATTCAACATGTAAAAGAGGCGTGACTAATAAGATGTCAATTTTGTAATTAATAGGGTGTCGTAGCAGTGTGTATGTTTTCTTCCGTTTTTTGAATTCTTCTTTCCGTAACTCTGATGACAAGGTAGTGTATTTCAAACCAATCACGTATGTCATGTGAGTAAATTCAAACAACCAACACATTGATAGAATTGCATGTGAATTTCTCCTATGGAGTCGATCTTGGTTGCATGTAAAATTTGCTTCGTGGTGTCAGAGAGTAACTAGTTGATCAAAATATTGTGTCCACACTCTTTAAACTGAATTCGAATGACACTCGTAGAATTAGAGTAATTTAGAATATCGCTTTAGAAAGAATAAAAAAAAACAAAAAACATTCGAATTGGCATGCAGCCTAGGAATTCCACCCAACCCAAAATCCTATCTCCTTGACACCTTGTCCTCCTCTAGTCTATTGGTTGGTTGGTTCTCTGTACTCGTATTGCTCTCACCACCTCCCCTCCCTCCCTTCTCACTCTCACTCACATACTTTCTCTCTCTAAACTGTTACTCTTTTCATTTTCTCTCTCTAGAATTCCAAAATGGGGATGTGAGCTTGCATATTGCAATGTGTCAATGACCTTATTTGGACCCCTCCTGACTCACCACGTTCCCCATATAACACTGTAAATCCATCCCCGCATTACTGCAATTTCAGAGCAAAAGCAACAATCTTTGAGCAAATTCGATAGAATTTCAAAGAATTTCAAGAAAAAATGAGCTGCATGCATCTGAGCTCATGGGTCCAATTCCAGACCTGCTCAATGTTGAATCAAGCAGGCAGATCCAGATCTTCCCAATCCTTCCACCTCCTCCACCCCCTCAAAACCACCATACCCATATCCTCCGCCGCCCCACACCGCCGTCGACCCACCTCCCCTTTCGCCGTCTCCGCCGTCCTCACCAAGCAAGAGACCCTCACAGAGGAATTCGACGAAGAGTCCCGGAAACCCACCTTCAATTTCAAGTCCTACATGCTCCAGAGGGCGGAATCCGTCAACCAGGCCTTGGACGCCGCCGTCTCCCTCCGTGACCCGATTACGATCCACGAGGCGATGCGGTATTCGCTTCTGGCCGGCGGCAAGCGGGTCCGACCAGTCCTCTGCCTCGCCGCGTGCGAGCTCGTTGGTGGGTCGGAATCCATGGCCATGCCGGCGGCCTGCGCCGTCGAGATGATCCATACCATGTCGCTGATCCACGACGACTTGCCATGTATGGACAACGACGACCTCCGCCGCGGAAAACCCACCAACCATAAGGTGTTCGGCGAGGACGTCGCGGTCCTGGCCGGCGACGCTCTCTTGGCCTTCGCATTCGAGCACATCTCCCTGTCTACCGTCGGCGTGTCGCCGGCCCGAATCGTCAGGGCAGTCGGGGAATTGGCCAAGTCAATTGGGTCCGAAGGACTCGTGGCCGGGCAAGTGGTGGATATAGACTCAGAGGGGTTGTCCGATGTGGGACTCGAACAGCTGGAATACATCCACCTCCACAAGACGGCGGCGCTGCTGGAGTGCTCGGTGGTTCTGGGGTCGATTCTGGGAGGTGGGTCGGATTCCGAAATCGAAAAGCTGAGGACTTTCGCTCGGTACATTGGATTGTTGTTTCAGGTCGTCGATGACATCCTCGACGTGACCAAATCTTCCCAGGAATTGGGGAAGACGGCAGGGAAGGACTTGGTGGCGGATAAGGTGACTTATCCGAAGCTGTTGGGGATCGAGAAGTCGAGAGAGTTTGCAGAGAAACTGAACAAAGACGCCAAGGAACAACTCGCCGGTTTCGATCCCGAAAAGGCTGCCCCTTTGATTGCTCTGGCGAACTACATTGCTTACAGGCAAAACTAAAGACACCCTTTTGTTGTACCGTAGAATTTAATGTTAGTTCGTGGGAATTTAGAATGTCTGATCCGCATGTTTGTGTTGGAGAACTGGATAAGAGTCGACACAGAGTTGGGTCAAATATACACATTTTTTCTTCTCCTTGTTCAGTCCGTGTCTTTACATTTGATTTATGTGAAATTAATGTGTTTAGCTATTCGCATGCCTTTAATTTCCTTTTTACAAATCGATAAGATAGTCTACACAATTTATCCAACTTCTGAGAGGGGATGGTTTGAACCGGGACGCAGACGTCGTGGACATCACTTTGTCTTCGTCTCCCGACTTGCGACCACCGTCACCATCGTCTCCTCCCAAACGGCCAAACCTTCCGATAACGACCACCCCATCACTGGCCGAAGAGATTGTCGAACACCACCATCGTCTAAAGGCCAACGCCTGCAAATCGAAATCGGCCACCAGTTCACCATCATCTCATCTCCTCCCAAATTAAGGAAATGTTCTAACCCCTTAACTCTCTGCATTGAGTTCAATTGAGTACGAATGCCAATTCTTCAATCTTCTAAGTTAAGGGTTTGCAGAAATCGGTTGAAATTTTGTATGTGTAGTTACGGATGGTTATTTTGTGGTGGAAGATGCAGTGGAGATTATAACAATGAACAGGAGGTTGGTCCTGTTGTATCTTTCAGAGTTATGTTAATTGTGATTCGGATTTTTGGCAACTATACAGCTTGTAGAAATCACTTTTGTAAAATACTAAAATTGAAAAACAAAAACTTGGATCCGTAGGGACCGGCCAGTTTCAAACGGATCGGGTTAGGTTCGGGTCTTTTTTGAGAATATCATGATCGGTCCAACCCCACCTCGTTTCATTTTCAAACAGGTCATGTATGGTTGCTCTAAATGTGGACCTGGCCCGGCCGTGCCACCCTTAAGTGGACCTGGCTAGGCCCGTGCCAACCTGGAATTTAGGCGGTGGTAGAGAGTAGGGTTTCAGATTAGGAGTGAAGTGATGGTTCTCTTTTGCACATTTAGTGAACGGTTAAGATTTTAACTCATTAGAATATGCGGTTGAGATTAATTAATCTCACTAAAAATGGAGCTAAATACATCTGACAATTTTGTGTCAAAAATAAATGGTGAGACACGAAAAAATATATTATTTGATTTACTTGTATCATGACGTGTAGAGTACTCATAAATCTTACCTATTGGATTCATATAAATAGATAAAACCTACAACTTTTACCAATATGGATGTTTAGCGTGTTGGTAACTTGGCATTAAGTTGCTTTGTAGTATGTTTTTAAATTTGTTTTTTTTTTCTTTTCTATTAGAGCAAGTTCATCCCCATCACAATTGCCCGAGCAATTGGGCATTGAATATTGTAAAACCCAAAAATCCCCCTCTACCATAGCCCAATAAATCAGACCAAGCAATCAGGTAGGGATTGCCCATGTGAGCTCCTGAGTTTATTTCACATCAGTTACTTTATATATATTTTTGCGTCAGGCGCATAAAAAAGAAAAAATCTTAAAAATTATCATTTTACTGTTGGGCTTACGTGGCACAATATGAGTTTCTGAACTGCACCAAAAAAAAAAAAAAAAAAAACTAATGAAAAGAACTTGAAAAGTTTTAGTTTTAATAAAAAACCATGTTATTTTTACCAAAAAAAAAAAAACTCATGTTATAAGTTTTGTTTAATGATTAGTACAAGGCTCATATCAAAGTAGTCCAACTAAAAATGGTCAAACTATAATAAATTATGATTTGTCGATTTTACCCCTAATTTTTGTAGGTTGAGTTCCAGATTTTCTTCGTTAATTGAGTTCATCGTTGTTTTGCAAACCTTATTCTTTTTCTTTGAAACAAAAATATAGATCCTCATGCTATTTAATTTATATTTTGTATTATTTCGTTGAAATGTGATTGTCGTTATTATTCATAGTGTATTCGAGGTATTGTTTTTCAATTTTTCTTCGTCAATGGAGTTCATCGTTTATTTCTCCATAAAATAATTTTGAGATCTGCATGCTATTCAATAATAACGACGGGTCACTGTTTTTGGATTGTAAAAATAAACTGTTTCTGGATCCAAATGAAGTAGACACACTGTTTCTTAAATGTAAGCTAAAAAATAAATAGTGAAATTCACTGTTTTTGGATTCAAAGCAAAATAAGCACATTGTTTCTTAAATATAATCAACCAATGCATGAAAGAAAAGAAATAGTCAAAGGTTACAACATAGACTGTTTCTGGAATCTAAGTTATTGTTTCTGAAATTTAAGTCAATGTTTCTGGAATTTAAGTCGCTGTTTTTTGGATTTTGGTTATTTTCTTTCCAAATACAATGTTTGTTTGTGCACAGACAAAACAAGCACTGTATCTGATTTTTTTTTCCAGAAACAATATTATGTTTTGGGTTGTCTAGAAATAGTTTTATGTTTTGGTTATTTTTTTTTCCAGACACTTTTTTGCCGGTTTCTGCCATTAAACTTTTTTGAACTTGTTTCGGCAGCTTTGTTCCGATGAATGCTTCATTTTTCAACTTTGATTTGGTTGTTTTTGAAATTGGGGAATTCGATTTGATAGGAAGACAAAGAGTTATTATGGTGGTTTCGTGCTAGGTTGAGGTTGGTGAAGAGTTAGGATAATATCGAATCATTTAGGGGTATTTACGGAAGTGTAAATTTGTAGCGGGGTGAGCTTGTAAGTTTGACCCGTGGACAATAGTTTTGGATGATTTTTTATTAAACTTTGAGCCATTTTGGTTAAATAACATTTTAAAATGATTTTTGGTTAAATATTTGTTGGCCCAAGCCCTTTTCATTAAAACTCTAAAAAACAAATAAAAAAATCAATGATTTTCTCCAATCATACCCAAAATTGTTTGAATATTTACATCAAACAAATTCACCATAACAAAGGGAGTTTGATCCAAACGGCCTGTAGATAATATTATATTATTTGACAAAAATATCAGTCTAAAATTCTTCTCGCATGGAGTCAATGAACTAGACTCAGATACAAATGAAAAGTCAGAATTGGAAGGCGAAATGGCGTTGATTAGAATTTTAGAAAATACTAGAAATATGGCCCGCGCGTTGCTGCGGGGTTAGTAACTGTGTAAAAAAAACATATTTCGAAGCTATAAGAGATTATTAAAGAAGGTTCATGTATATTAACACTGAAAGATGTTTGAGCTTTTTGAAAGAAGTTTAACATGAAACGCATAAATTGGGTAAATGCAGCTCTTGGAATCCTTTGAACCACTCTATGAATAGTATGACCTGTGAGTGATTGATAGTGTAACAAAAATTAGTAAAAGAGAGTAAGAGTTTTATATATGAAACTATATTATTGGAACCACTTTATGGAAAGCTGTAGTGCTAAGATATACTCGGTTATAGTTTCAAAACTAATAAAAGAATGCAAGACATAATATATACACAGAAAAGTAAAAACTATTTAGTTTGAAAGATACGAACGATTCAGCTTGCAGAAAATGTGGAGTGATTGAGAAAATGGATCATTAAATTAACTGTTTTTCCTTTCCTTCCATTTGCTCGCTGCATAAACAGTAGAGCAGCTCTAGTTTTTCAGTTTTTTTAATGTTAGGAAAAATTCCACTTCATTATACATGCATATTATTTTCTTAGTTCATATATGAATTTGACATTATCTCTTTCAACCAGCAACCAAAATCACTTCTCAAAGAGATTATAAATAGAAGAGAGTGGAAGCTTACCCAAAGCCAATTTCGAGTAGTAGTGTCGTGTTACTCTCTCCATTTTCTTATTTTTAGACCCAAGAATCTCTGCAGTTAAATGTCAGAGTTGGGTTCCATTGGTCTTTCAAAATATCCAGACAAATTGCTCCATTTTGACTACTAATATTAGGGTGCCTTCAACATATGAGATACATACACACAAAAAAACATTATTAGTGATCCAGATGCATATCGTTTCTCTGAGTATTCCAATTCAGCAGTCCCTAGAATCTTACACAGTGGCACCTGGCTGTTTCTCCTACTTTACAAACTGTTTTTTTTTTTCTTTAAAGCACATTCTGCTGATAAATATATTCTTCACAAAAATTATGTAATACAATTGTACATTAAGTGCTAATAATCTTCATAAAATGGCTATTTACATTTCTTCACAACTTGAGTGATCTCTCAAATAAATGATGGATGAGGTTATAGTTTATCCGTACTTTCACATTTACATTTGCCCACAATTTAAGTGTTATATTTAAACTCCAAACGATGCATAGGTTATCATGCAGTTACATCATTATACTAAAATTCACATCCAATAAGAGTATAAATACACCTAATTGGTAATATCTTGAGAGAGAGAGAGAGAGAGAGAGAGAGAGAGAGAGAGATACCTGGCAATGGGTCGATTTGCCATTAACTAAAGAACTCGACTTTTTCTTATGATTACATCACCACCTTCAAGAAATACATCAATCAGTAAAATATGAAGTGACAACACAAAAGAAAATCACAGATAAGGTTCTCATTAGCGGTGAAATTATTAGTATTGCACTAAAATATTTAGTGATAAGGAGATAATGATTTAAACAATATTATCTCAATCATCATTCTGATAAAGAGAATATGTTCCAGATCACTATTACAAATTATAAATGTGAACGGTATATTTCTCACCTTGCGAAAATATAAAAATGTATATACATTTTTACATATTCACATGAATATAAATGCGGGATTAAAAATTATATGAGATATTTTATAGCGTCAATTTTCATAAATAATGTTGAGTGAAAACAGAGAATTATGAATGGCAATTCAATTTATATGTATTATCATGAACGGAACAAATTTGGATACCAAGAGAAAAATCTATTCTTTCAAAGTGCAAAGAAGAAGATAATTGTTCATTCAAAAAGTTGGACTAATGATAACTGCATAACTTACAAATGCAGTATTGAGAGGTATACCAGTCAAACAAAGCTTGCTACATGCTGCTAAACAATGTTGAATGTAAAGCTTGGATACCAGACTTGTTCCTAGCTTGAGGTGTTTCCAAAGAAGGAAAATTTGACCTTCTATTGTAATAAATTCCAGAGAGTGTCTTGGACAGTTGTGAATACAACTGCAAAATGTAATAAAGACAGTTAGGCAATGATTCAAAAAAAAAAAAAAAAAAAAAAAAAAAAGATGCATAAAAAGTTCAAAATTGAGTTTTGGGAGAGAGTGGAGAGAGAGAGGTGGTAATTCAACTTGTGAAATTCACAAATCAAACATTTAAATAAAGTTCAATCAAAATTTAGAACAAAATGTTAATTAGAAATATGTTAAAATGGAAGTAAAAAAGATTGAAACTTGCCTAATGTGATGTGTACAACTTTACCATCTGTTTGCGAAAAATATACTGCTGTGACATATCATATGTTGATCTTACCTTCTTGGAAGTGATATTAGTTGTTGATTGCCAGGTAGCTAAAATATTTACAATATTTTAAATTATGAGACAAATTATTCTATCAAAGTTGTGTGATAAAAAATAATTTATACTTCTATATTGACGCAAGTTATGATTTTAATTTGCATATACCTTGGTGGAGTTATTCTGTGTATGAGTTTCTTGCATTCATCATCCATGTTATGTGAAAAGCTGGTTCCAAGTTCTACAAAAAGTCACAAAGAAATGAAATATAAAATTGGACCAAAAGGAAATTTGAAAAAACAGAAGGAAGTAAATATTATTTCAGTCATTTTCCGATCTTTGAATTGGAATGACACATAACATATGACTAAAAATATGACTAAAACTTTCTAATTAAAGTCTTAACTATTTTATAAATTTTTATCAGCCAATACTGGAAAATGAATGTAAGTAATGCTGAAGGAGGCAAACAATAAAAGTCGAAGTAACATGTAAAACCCAAAACGTTAAAAACATGGCATACCTTTTTCAAGGACAAAAAATATCAATTTTTTTCCATGCAAAAATAAATATCTCAACAAATCAGTGCTTCATTTGGTATTCTTCTTTCCAGTTTCATATCAAAATCTATTTACATCCCTATGTTCTATAAAGAACAATTGATATGTAAAAATTATCTTATTTACATCCATGTAGTTACAATACACATTAAAAATATCTTGTTTTCTAGGTCCCAACTTTTCACATTGTTGTGAAGTACTTCACTCTTCTTTGCAGCAAAGAAATGTTTTTCTTGTACCATGCATAGGATTTTTTGAAATGGATTAAAACTAACATGCGATATAGAACTTCTGTGTTTCACTTACTTATTGATTGGGTTACAATCTCAGCATGAGAAACTCATTTCATGATTTGAAAAACATGGAAGAATTGTATAGCTAGAGTAGACAATCTAACCTATGATTTTTGAAATACAAAGTAGGATAAATTTGCTATATGGAGATCCCACAACAGAACCAACTTATAAATATTCTAAACTCTCATCCAAAATTCAAACTGTCTGCAATTCTATAAAAAAATATAAACTTGTATGACAATTACTACAATTTGAAGTAAAATTTAAACCATGCAATAGTCGAATTTAATAACTCAACAATATTAATATTCTCAAGATAAAAAAAAAAGCACAAAAAATGAAACCCCATATAAAAAAATCCAACACTTTGTACAGAACATAGGCTTTACCTTTCTTCAAGAACTGCAATTGAAATTGTAGCAGTTGCGTTTGTTGGGTGGTGGGAGTCATTTCGCTGTGCAAGAGTTGCTGAAAATTTACCAAAATTTTAATAAGATAAAGAACAAAAATAGTAATCACAAAACTCAAATTTAAAGAATAGTTTTGTAGCTCCTAAATTTTTTCTAGAGAATACAAACACTCTTGCCTATCTCAGATGGCTATAACTCATGAATCCAAATCTCATTGAATCCTCAAAATTTTAATAAGATAAAGAACAAAAATAGTAATCACAAAACTCAAATTTAAAGAATAGTTTTGTAGCTCCTAAATTTTTTCTACAGAATGCAAACACTCTTGCCTATCTCAGATGGCTATAACTCATGAATCCAAATCTCATTGAATCAAGCCTATTCTCTTAAACCAAACATGAAATTGTTTCATGATCTGCAACTAATATGATTTACAACTAAAAAAAAAAATTAATCAACTCGAATCAAATACAAATCCAAGTCAATTTAAACTTACCAAGCATAACAGAACAAATCATAGATAAACAATCAATCAAACAGAACTGAATGAGATTTAGCTGCTTCAAAAATTTCACATTAAACCCAGTTATAAAGCACAAAATCCTACCCAAAAATGAAAACAGAGATAAAACAAAGCAAAAATCGAACAAAAGGGGATGGGTACCTCTGTTTTTGACTCGAGATCTCTGCGTGCTTTGAATTTCTGCATACAAAATATATTACTTCTGTAACACTTGACACAATTTCGAAGGTCTTTAATAGCTCAACTCTTCGTATCAATTGATTTTTATGATAACATCCTGGGTTGGTATAAAATAAGATTCATGTTTGCTTATGATTATTTTTTTTTAAATTCCCAAGCAAGAGGATTAGTAATGGTAAAGCTAAAGTTTGGGGATCCACGTGTGATTTGGCTTTTGATGTTCAAATGAAGGAGAATGAACTTGTCAATGTAAGTTGGTAAATATTTGATAGAGTAAAAACTATGTTTAGCCACAAAATACTACCATGTAGTCAGATGGAAGCATTAAGGATTAATTTTCATTAATAGTATTCGATCTATTTGCAGACATTTTGTATGAAATCCTTTTTGGGTGGTTAGTCAGATCAATTAGGGATTAAATTTAACTAAAATGGCAACGCATTTTAAATAAAATGATAATACAATTCAATATCCTACTCTTTGAATTGGAGATTAAGTAGAAAATATTACCCACATATTCATAATTATGCATGAAAAGTAGAAATTCGAAAAGCAAAAACTAAATCACTTACATGGCAGGTCTTCAGCAAGAATAGCATTGCTGCAACCAAAATTGATACCAATAAACCATATGAATCTTATTGATTATGAGTACCAATTCTCTGGATTGGGCATTGCGGGGTAAGATCTGCACTTGTGGGTAAAATCAAATTAGGTTGTATTTAATCACAGGCGCACCAGAAAATTATAAGACTAAAAAAATTATAAAACCCTAAGATGAATTTAAGCAAAACTCAGATCAAGATTCTAAGTGGATTTATCAAGAATAATATTAATCAGAAATTAACACTGAAAATAAATAAAAATAAAAAGAATTGAAATTTTCATACCTTTAAGTTTCAACGTTTTTACTCTGGAATCCAAGCAAAACCCAGATCAGATTCTAAGTGGGTTTCTCACAAATAATAATTTAATCAGAAATTAACACTGAAAATAAATCAAAAACACAAAAAAATTGAAATTTTCGTACCTCTAAGTTTTTGGGTTTTTACTGTGAATCCAATTGAGAACTAAGGGCGGAAATTGCTGGAGGAGAAGACAAAGAGGGAGGCAGCATGGGTTTTGGCGATGAATGGAAAAGCACGTCAACTTCCAAAAAAAAAAGGGAAATCTAATGATCAAATTCAAGAAATATTTAATCTCACAAAATTTTAAGCCAATCAGTTACGCGGCCAAATCAAATTCTATGAAATTCTAGCAAGATACAACCCCAATAGAACACTAATGAACGATAAAAAAAATACGAAATATCAACAACCAAATTCGGTAAAATAACAAACCACGGCGAAATATCAAATATTTGGCTCCTGGGTAGTTGAGAAGAAGTGAGATTTAATTACCTGTTCAAGGCTAGAGAAATTGGGTGCATGATTAGACGGCAAGGAGATCGCAAAGCAAAGACCAAAAAGATGAGGAAGCAGAGATCGAAGGATCACGAAGGAGAGATCGAAAAGATCAGGAAGCAGAGATGGAAGAGATCGCGAGGAGGAGTGTAGGACGCATGATCGAAATCACCAACCCGTTGCGGAGCAGCTGAGAATTCTGTAGTTTAAGGTTTCTAGTGTTTTCGGAAGAAGTCGAGAGATTTCTACCGGAAACCATGGTCAAAACCGTAATTTTACTGTGGAAAACGCAAAAGAACCTAGACTTGAAGAGCAGCTGAAGGGTAAAAACGGAAAACACTGACGAATGAACAGTAAGAAGAAAAGAGAAAGGAAGCACGGATGAATGGACCAAACGAAATAAACAAAGCAAGCAGGGTTAAAATCGGTATCACACTGCTCTATGAACAGTGTTTCAGTTATGTTTCCCTTTTAGTATATATATAATTTGACCACCACAGATCCTCAAATATTCAATTAATGGTTAAATATACTTTTGCTTCACAAGTGACTGTGTGAGAGCTACTCGGTTGAGAAGGCCAGAGCAAAAAGAAGGGTTATCTGCCTGCATTGAACGTGATCTTCTCCGGATACTCTTGTGAGGAGATATTTAAATTATATTTGTTTATCGTATATTTATATTTAATTTTAAATAAAAATATTTAAAATAATTTTAACTTGCACCACAATGTAAGATAAAGGTATACCATTTGAAGATCCTGAAAATTGATCCGGAGAGGATCTTCATTCGCCTGGCGTTGGTTCCACTTTTTCCTCTTGGTCTTTTCCTTCAACTTCGTAGGACCATGGCTTTAAAGTATGCGGTACACTCCTTCCTGATTAACGAAAGAGAAATTGTGCTCTAGCCCATTGCCACTTTCCCAATTTCCTCTCACTTTCCTTTTTCCCATTTCACCTACTTCTTTGCATTATTCTGCACCATTGACTTGTGGGCTTTGCAAAGACTCAGTCTTCGGTTCGTCGTGTTGGATTTTGCTTGTGTTTGGGAGTCTTGAACTTTCTGGGGGGTGTGGGGGTTTGGAGTGAGAGAGCAAAGCTACAAAGTTCATATTTTTCTTTGCATTCAAGCTGAATTTCAGGTGAGAAAAATCCATCAAGTTTTATACTTTGTGCAGAAATCTCATCTGGGTTTTTACTTTTGCTTTACCTAGTGAAATATTTAGCTCTTGGGTTGCTTAGGATCTAGCCAAATCCCAAGTCTTTGTGGTTAATTTTGTAGTTCTTCAACTTACTCATAGATTGTATTCGATTCGATTTCGAGCATTTGGCTGCTTGGAGAGCACTAGGAGGAAAAGTAATTATTTTTTTTTACTAGTCGAGCATAGTTAGGTGTTGGGAAGTTCTGATTATCTGAACCCAAATGATGGGAGGAAAATCCAGTAAAAACCTTGAAAACCTTGAAACTACTACCATCTCCCAGGACAGCGCCGATTTGAGCTCCTATGAGGCAGCTTGTAAGCTCGATCCAGCCTTGCAATCGTTTGATGTCAATCTCCAGCAGCGCACAAGCCGTGTCATTCACTCGCTTTCAGCTGGGTTGGATTTTCGGTCCCTATCCCTTGACTCGCTCAAGGAGGTTACCGATTGCTTGCTTGACATGAACCAGGAAGTGGTCAAGGTGATTCTAGAATGCAAGAAGGATATATGGAAAAGTAAAGAAATGTTCTCTCTTGTGGAGGAATACTTTGAGAACAGTCTTCAAACGTTGGATTTTTGTACTTCCCTCGAGCAATGTCTTAAGCGTGCGCTCAATACCCAGCTGATAATTCAAGCTGCAGTTAGGCAGTTTGAGGAAGAAGTAGGTGCCGGGGCAGATGGGAACGGGTGTGCAAGAACCTTAAAAGAATTGAGGGCGTTTAAGGCGGCTGGGGATCCTTTCACGGACGAGTTCTTTATACTGTTTCAAGCAGTTTACAAGAACCAGGCATCCATGTTTGAGAAACTGCAACTTCGTAAGAGAAAACTTGATAAGAAGTTCAAATCAATGAAAGCTTGGAGGAGGCTGTCAAATGTTATTTTCGTTGCTACATTTGTCTCAGTATTGGTTTTCTCTGTAGTGGCAGCTGCCATTGCTGCACCACCACTTGTAACGGCCCTGGCAGGAGCATTGGCTATCCCAATAGGTTCAGTTGGAAAATGGTGTAATATTCTTTGGAATAACTACGAGAAAGGACTGAAAGGGCAGAGGGAGATAATCAGCTCAATGCAGATTCGAACGTTCGTCACAATGAAGGACCTGGATAGCATCCGGGTGCTTGTTGACAAATTTGAAATTGGGATTGAGTCACTGTTGCACAATGTTGATTTTGCTATTAGAGAAGAGGGGTCGGCTGTGAAGCTAGTGATGGATGAGATCAAGAAAAAGCTTGATGTGTTTGTGGAAACCATTGATAATCTAAGCCAGCATGCTGATAAGTGTAGCCGGGATATAAGGAAGGCAAGGACAGTGATTTCGCAGAGAATAATTGGGTATCCCAACAAATGAAAGGCCCTTTCGGTATGTATTTCTGATCACCCTTCTCTTCCTGGTGGTCTATTAGTGAAACGTATGCACCCTTCTAAAGCTAACTCTTCACCTTGGATCACATGAATTCGATTTGGCATTCCTTAAAGGCAAATGGTAGAGTCTATATTTTTATTTATTTATATATTTCGGGTTGAAGGAGTTACGTTGTTAAACAGGGTTATAGTATCGGTGTGTAAAATATCAGAGAAAGCTTAAATCAAAAGGATTACTTACCTACTATTTGATCTGTTTTCTTATTGCAAAACGTACTAGAACTTGATAGATTTTACTTTACTTTGCTGCTAAATGCTGAACATTTGGATTTGATGGCTACTAAGGGATCTCTTTTAAGACTGATTAATATAGTTTGTGCGGCACGCACTGTGCCGCCCTCTCACGAGTGGTTTTCTTTCTTCACCATTGTGTAGTTGATGTTGATCCCACCGCAAGCTTGTGAAAGGGAGGTGCCATGTGCGTGGTATGTGCAAGAAATTATTTCGTAGCTGGAATGTCTGCAAGCATTAGAAGAATGTGGAATTTGGAGCTCACTTTCTGCACTTTGAATGGTTATATGGATTCACAAAATGAGATGAGTTTGAGAATAGTTATATTTCTTGATTCTCTATCATATAGGTAGAGATAAAGATCGTTCGTCTTCAGTCTGATACATATTGGACGGCCTAATGAATCCAACGGCTGAAGAGTTTCTGCATGATGAAGGGGCTCGGTATTGAAGTTACACTTGGTTTTATTAGTCAATAAGCTGAGAAAGCATGCATTGTTGATAGGCAGAAATTTGTTTTATGATTTTGCTTCGTTGATTATATCGCTTCATCTGTGGAATTTTTGGGGACACATTAATCTCTAGTTTTCGACTGTTACATGATTAATTGATTTAAGAACTTCAAAAAAAGAACGGATTTCTTTAATTGCCATCTTCGAAACATGTTGAGATGATATATGTTTAAGCGTCCGAAGGTAAAATATGAGCACGAGGCGAGCCACATATTTGCAGATGATTGCACGTATTAGAAGTATTTTTCTGAGGCTTTGTACTCAATGGATTGGATCATGAGATATTAGTAATTACTCAAAAATTGTGGTTAACATTGTATGCAGTTATATGTGGTCTAACGCAAAAGTTACTGAATATTGACTTTGTCAAGTGATTTCCGCACGCTTATTTTCTATCTCTGTACCTTCCTATTTATTTTTGGTCATTGAACTAAACGAATTAAAGCATATTCAAACGGCATGAATAGATAGGGGTGTGCATAAGTGAAAATATGTGTGCAAAAATCATTTTCATTATTATCCGTCACAAATTACAATTTACAAATTGCTAGAATTGGACTCAAAACATTTTTACTTTCAAAGAAGATGAATTAACAAAGGAGTGCGGAAAAAGAAAAAATGTGTGGGGAACTCATTTGCGATTGTATATCGCTAACAGTTTCCGTAACCTCCTATGCGCAACACTAATGAACGACTCCTCCTATGCGCAGTTTTCGTAACCTCCATGGATTTCTGAAGCACCTTGCAGCTTTCACCGGCATCTGCCATCACCAAAGTCGAAAACTTTCCACCAAATCCATCCATTTCCTCAACCGAATCTATCCCCACAAACCCAACAATCCAATTCCCAGAAAGAACACAAAAAACCATCCCAAATCCACTCCAAAGCAACAACCTTTGGACCCGAAGACTTACATGCGAGAAACAGACGCAAACATTACAGAATCCTCAAATATTCGACATGGGATTCCGCTAAAGAACAACAGCACAGCCTTCCCATAAGATGGGATTCTTACACTGTGAGCCAGGTGCTCAAAACCCACTCTCCGATGGAAAAGTCGTGGCTTTTTTCTTTTCTTTTTTTCAACTGGGTTGCTGGGTTTAAAGGGTTTAAGCACGACCAGTTCACCTACACGACAATGCTGGACATTTTCGGAGAAGCCGGGAGGGTTTCATCAATGTCCCATGTTTTCAAGCAAATGCAGGAAAAGGGGGTTAAAATCGATGCCGTTACTTACACTCTGATGTATTGGCCTTCGAATGCCAGCGATGTCGATGGGGCTGTGCAGACTTGGGAGGAGATGAAAGCTCAGGGATATCCTCCCACAGTACCACAATTGTTTCTTACACTGCTTATATGAAGATTTTGTTTGGTGATAACAGAGTGAAGGAGGCTACTGATGTTTACAGGGAAATGACTCAATGTGGATGTTCTCCAACTTGTCGTACTTGCACTGTGTTAATGGACTACCTAATTGGTTCTGGTGAGTAGCATTTGCTTTCGCATATGTACTGCACTCTATGTGTTGTAATGTCTGAATGGGGTGATTGTTTGATAATTTTTTCTTGAAAGTTTCCAATTTGTGCATACGGTTATACTGGTTGTTTACGCACGGTGTGTGTTTGTTAAAGGAAGATGAGAGTTTTCGTGCTATGATATGAAGTTGCTTCCACATTGTGATTGCTTGCATTACCCCCCTCTTAATAAGATGATGTGAACTTACATTTCTTTTCATAGTCGTATTTAGAAAAGATATCATGTTTGTGTAACTTGCATATTAATAGTTTCATAAATGGACTCATCATCAGGGTCGTCTCTGACATTTTGGGACCCTGTGCGAATTTAATAAAAAGGCCCTCCTTATTTAAAAAAAAAATGTTGTTGGACAATATATCCATACAAAGCTCAACAATCAATAACCAAACTTAATTAAAATCAGCATCCCTCTTACTAATTGAATAATCTCCAAAATAAAGTCATGATTTTGGGTTCATCTATAAAAAAAATGGAGCATAGCTGAAATAGAGATATGAAAATACGTTTGTATTTGTGAAAGAAAGTAATACACAAATTAGTTTTTTATTGCTTAATAAAAAAAGTGAAAGAAAGTAGTACACAAGTTTTTTATTGTCAAAAAAAAGAATGTGTTTAAGCTCCGCTTAACCAATTGTAATGATGATGATTTTTCTTTTAAGCTTAAAACTTTTTTTATTAGAAATTTATACTCATATGTAATATAAGGGAGGATCAAAAAATTTGGGGCTCCTAAAAAATCCAGGGCCTGTGCCACTGCACCTTTTGCATACCCCTAACGCCCCCTCTGCTCATCATGCTATGATTTCTATGCATATACGCACTTTTGGTGGGATGCACAGGGACTCATCTTTGCGATGTTCCTCTCCCTCCTCCCCAAAATATCGAGAAAGTTATTGAATTTGTTATGTGTTTCAGGGAAATGCAAAGAGGCACTTGACATTTTCGGTAAACTGCCAGACGCTGGAGTACAACCTGATAAAGAGGCTTACAATATTTAATTCAGAAATTGTGCAAAGCAGGAGACACATGGACAATGAACCATGTCCTTTGGTTTATGAAAGAAAATCGCCTTGCCCTTCGTTACCCTGTATTTCTAGAGGCAGTCAGAACTTTCAAAATTGCTGGCGAGAGTGATTCCCTCCTCAGGCAAGTTCATCCTCACTTTTCAGTTGGCTCTGGCAATCAGGAGGAAAGTGAGTTTAGACCATCGCTGCTGATGCTCTTGTGACAATTGATGAAGGGCTTGTATTGATTCTTTTGAAAAAAAGAAAATCTCGTTGCCATAGACCGCTTGCTTGCTGAAAATGGAGATAAGAATATACAATTGCATTGTGCTATCACCTCAACCATCATTGAGGTAAATTGTGGACGTTGCAGACTTGATGGTGCTTTATTGGCTTTCGAATATAGTGTGAAAATGGGTATAATCCTTGAGAGAAATACATATCTGGCTTTGGTAGGAGCTTTGATCAGATCAAAGTCATTTCTAAAAGTGGTGGAGATTGCTGCAGAGATGATTAGGGCTGGATGTTCTCTTGGAATATACTTAAGTGCACTTCTAATACATAGGCTCGGGCGAGCTAGAAGGACACTTTGTGCTGCAAAAATCTTTAATTTATTGCCTTATGATCACAAGTGCACTGCAACTTACACTGCGTTGAATGGGGCTGCTCTGCTGGGAGTGCTGATAAAGGGCTTCAAATATTTGAAGCGATGCGAGGGAAAGGATTTTGTCCCTTTTTGGGCACATACAATGTGCTGTTAACTGGTCTCCGAAAGTGCAGTAGAGTTCATGAAGCTGAATGTTTAGGAAGGAAAAGAAGAGTATGCAGGCAGACGGTGAGTTTCAGAATGCTGTCCCGATTGACCAAAAGATTTGTGATTTTCTGTTTGCTGGGGATGTTGTGTCTTGATGCCAAATGGGCAAACGAGATTCCCCAATTGGTCTCGCGATGCAAAACAATGTGTCGCTGCTTGAGAGAATATGTCGTAGATAAGGAAGCACTTCTCCTGTCAACGCGATGGCTGTGTGTACGATTAAGGCAAGAGTTGTTGGTCGAAAATCCAGACTCTGGAAGAGAAATCACCCATGGGTTTCGTGTATTCGAATGCTTAGAAAGAAAGCTATCCAATTAATGGATGCAATGAAACTTTTGCGAGGGCAAGACTCGATATTCTGTTATTTGTGACAAAGTTCAAATTCAATAGATTGGGGTGGAAGTTATGTGGTTGACACACTTTTGAGTTGTCTTGATGGGCAATTAGACTTGTATGTAGGGGAAGGTTTAAGGCCTTGCTAAACATACTTTTATCCGTTTATTGACATGATTAATGATATGCACAGTGGAATTGCAACTCTGCGGATACTCTTCGGGTCCAGTTTTGCCTTCAATTAACGGGACGAATTAGAACGATATTTGGTTTTCGTGAGTACTCTTCCCTTGACTGTCTGCATTAAGGTTCCTCTCTTGCCCTAATCCATTTATAAAGAGCACTGTAAATGAACTAATTAAGTATAGAATTAAAGTTTAAAGGGAGTATTTCAATTACTTGTAGCATAAGTAAGGTCCCCTCTTTTTCCCGATGTTGGATTGACTCTCAATACGCCTCCTCATGTGGGATGAACATATCTTAACACATAGACAACACAAATCGGATGACGTGAAACACGTGTGGGTATTGGGCTTCACACATGGGACAACATGCTATAAAATATGAAGAAAGTTGAGGTTCCAACATAAAATCAATTGACAATATGGAGAATGAGGTAATACTTATAATCACATGCAAGGTTCATTTCACGGATGTGTGACTCTCTTGCCTTTACATCCTCATACCATTCATTGGTTTGATAGTGGAGTCTCAACTTTATCATGATATCAGAGTAGGTTGTCCTATGTGTGAAGCCCAACGACCACATGTACTCAATGTCACCCCTTTATGTTTTCCACATGTTATGTTTGAAAATTCATCACACATGAGGGGCATGTTAAGAGTATCAGTCTTGCATCGGGAAAATGAGGGACCTTATATGTGCTTATAAGTAATTGGGCTACTACTCATAAGCTAGTTGGTTTCATGGTGAAACCTCAAATTTCTTCATTTACAAAAGGCTAAAAGCTACTGCTAATTTAGTTCTCCAAGTTTCATTTTCTTTATGCTTTTGTAGGTGGTTATTATAATTAGCATTCCAAAATTATCATCATACACTCGTTACATTTGGAGTGATAAAAACGACTCCACTTTTTTTTTTATGGCAAAAAGAAGAGGAAAAAAAACTTACGAACAAGTTAAGTACCACCACCTTAGGAAAATTATGAAACCAGATATAAAGATTTGGTAGAGTATGTCCATAGTTTGCTAGAGCGTCACTAGCAAAATTTTCTTTTCGGTAAAATGTTGAATTCCTCGAACATTGAAAGTTCTGAGTAAGAAACATACATCTATTATGATAAAGGAAATTCTCAACGGAGATTGATTGGAGCCTTTAAGCACATCAATAATAGGTTAAGAATCAACAACAAAGTCTTATTTCATTAAGTATGGTTGGCGGTATGAATTATAGAACGTCAATACGCTCACTTTTGATGCTAAGTC